TTTTTTTTTTTTTTGGCCCAACTGTTTTAATTCCCCAAAGCCTGTCTTGCATTTGCATTTTAGAGATTCTTTCTTCTGCTTGTTCTAGCCTGCTGTTTATGCTCTCAGCAGCATTTTTTATTTCCTTGAGTGAATTCTTCAGTTCCATTTCTGCTTGATTTTTAAAAATTATTACTTATATCTCTTTGTTGAATTTCTCATACATATCATCAAATTTCTTTTTGACTTCATTGTAATTTCTATCTGTTTTTTCACCCATCATTTTGAGTTTTTTAGTATTGCCCTTTGGGATTTCTCTTCAGGCAATTCATCTATTTCCTGTTGTATTGGGTCTGGTATTGGAGAGGTGTAGTGTTCTGTTGAGGAAGTCATGTTTCCTTGTATTTTTCATGCTTCTTATATGTCTGCATTGAAATCTGGGCATCTGGTGGTGTAGTCACTTGTTTTAATTCTAGGAGTGGCATTTGAAGGGGGAAACTTTCCTGTAAATGTATTCTATATTATTAGTTGAGTTGGGAGTTTTAAGTTTGGATCTGGATGAGTGCAGTAGTGCAGACTTTGTGCAGCTTCTTCAATTGTATTCAATCTTAGAGTGTTAGTGGGTGCCTTTGTAGCCTAGGCAGAGGGACCCTTGGAAATTTCTTGTTGGGGTGGGTGATTTGCTGTCAGTCAGGGGGTAGATGTATACTGTTGTAGCAGTTCCTGGTAAGTCTATAGAGGACCACTGGTTCAGCTGTTGAGCCTGGAACAAGGCTGTGTAGATGCTGCATTGCCCAGTGGCTTTCTAGATGGGTGTTGTAGTGAGGGAAGCTATTACCCAATCAGGTGTTGGTTTGAGAATAGGTGTTCACAGTTGTCTCAAGGCCTTGCAACTCTGAGGGTGGCCTCCTGATCAACTTTCGAGACTGCTGCAAGTCTGTAAGGGTTCAGCTGAGCCCATCAGCTCTGCAGAGCCTGCCTTGGGGTGTTAGAGCCCCTGCCTGGTCCACTGTCAATCTGGGAGCACATATAACTGAGGCAACAGGTCCTGGGAGCTCCGAAGAGGGGCACTGCTCTGCAGAGCCTGCCTTGGGGTGTTAGAGCCCCTGCCTGGTCCACTGTCAATCTGGGAGCAGATATAACTGAGGCAACAGGTCCTGGGAGCTCCGAAGAGGGGCACTAGCTCAGCTGTTGAGCCTGGAGCAGGCCTGTGTGAATGATGCAGTGCTCAGTGGATCTCTGGAGGCATGATGTAGGAAGGGAATGCTGCTCCCCAATTGCTGCTGAGCCCTGTGTGAGCCTGCAAAGGTGCAGGTGAGCTGAGAAGCAGCATAGAGGCCTACCTTGGGGAGGGGTGCTGGTTAAGTTCAGAATATGGGTTCTATGTCTTTCTGTCTGTCATAGGCTCCAGGCAACCTTCACGCTGACCCTGCTGGCACCTGTAAAATGTAGGCAGTACCTCCCAATAAAGGGACTGGGGCTTGCTGGGTCTGGGCAAAAGAGTCTATGCTCCAAATGCTTGGGATTGTGACCCTACCAGTACCTGCGTGAGCATATGGAGGGTCACAGGAGGAGGTGGGGCTTCTGACAAGTTTCCTGTGGGCTGTGTGCATCCTTCTAGGTTCAGCTCCCACAGGCTGTGGAAGGTGGGTCGCAAATGTCAGGCACTACTGTGCATTAGCAGATTTCCCACTCAGCAGGTCTGCCTACCCGCCTGGGGGAAGTGAATGCTGAGTGAGTTCAGAGGTGGGTCCCAAAAAGACTGGGGAGAATCCTCAGAGGTGAGCATCACCAGCATTTGTGGTGACTGTGGGAACAGCTGGGGTCTTTTCCAGCTGGCATTTTGTTTGCCTGATTTCAGGCCAGTCCCTGTGGCGGGGCTGAGGATGCATGCTCTGTTCTGCTCTCCTGGCGCCGTTCCCTTCTTCTGTGCTGCCTTAGAATCTTCTCGCTCTCCTGGGGCTCTGCACCATGTTTACTCAGGTTCCAGTCAAAATATACCTGTTTGTCTGTTGTTTTGGTCTCTTTTTACGGGGAAGAGACTAGTGCCAGACTTCTCTAGTTGGCCACCTTGGATTTTTTTTTTCTTTTAACCACTTTCACATCAAAAAGGGAAGGAGACATGCACATGCCACATGAGATTGCTGTTCTGGTTAGCTAGGCTTCTCCTATCCATGTAACACTGAAATTCAGCAAATGTGCTGTGGGGAAGTCACCCAAGCATCTGAAAGCCAACTGCATTGTCACGACATCCTTACATGATCACCAAAAGCTTTACAGGTTACTCTCTTCCCCAGCAATGGTGCCCTGCTGGTTAGTCCATGCCCAAATGGTTAATGTCCTCATGGTGAGAAAACAGCAAGTAAATAAAAGCAAGCAAGCAAAGGAAAAGGAAGGTAGGAATGAAGAAAGGAAAGACTGAAAAAGGAAGGGAGAGGGGTGTCATCAAGATCTCACTTTGGAAAGGTGACCCCAGTTTGGGATTTTAGTGGATGCTCTACTCACTTCGTTCAGAGATCTCTGATGCCCTTAGAGTACTGTCCAAGGAATTTGTTTGGCTTTTTCTGGTTGATGCAGTAGAAGCCTTGGGATTACGTAACTTGTTCCTACCAAATCATTTTTAATAAAGAAAACTAACTGGGAGCTTTCTCTATGTGACTGGAGATTATCAAATGACAGCCTTCATTTTGGAAAGTGGACTTTAGGCCGTGCTACTTCTAGCAGTTTAAGTGAATACTGCTTATCAGACCACTCTAGACGCCTAAATTCTGCAGACACCGTGAATTCAATTGCTTCAGGAGAGAAAATACTCTTTTAAACTTTAATTTTGGGGATAAAAGTGTTGTGTCCTCTGCATTCTGTAATTGAAAGAGAGGGAGACTTGAGTAGTCGAGGCTGAGAGCTGATGGCCTCCGTGGCTCTGTGCACAGATTTCCGCTGACAGTGCCACGTGTCAGCCGCCCTTCCCGTTCCCACCCCTGCAGCTCTGCCGGGCTGGGTCAGGTGGTCGGCCATGCTGTCTGCCATTTGTGTCCCCCTGGCCGCTTCCTCCATTCATTTCATCCACTACTGGCCTTACATTTTATTTCAGAATTTCTGTAAGTTCTTCAACTTCTCATCTTCAAATTGCCTTTTTTTTTATTATCCTCACTATCATTTATTTTAAAAAGAGGGGCTTTTGTGTGTGTTAAGTCTATCGATTCAAATCAGAATTGTTCTGTGGCTGTTTTTAAAATTCATCAACAATATACTTTATTTTCATTTGTTATTCTACCTTGTTCAGTTGATTTCTGAGAAGTCAGAAATTAGAGACTTTTTAACCTCATTCTCATTAAATGTGGGTCCTGAGTGAAAAATAAAATGTAATGCATTGACATCTGTATGCACCTGTACCTATAGGAATATACATAGATCAATCAATAGATAGAACTTAGACTTTATTTCTGTTACTTCTATTATTTTGTTTTTTATTTTTACTTGTAGACAGATAATGCTGGCTGGTCCAACATTTTACTATTTTTGCTGGTCTCGTCAGAGTGCCTTCAGTTAGTAAACATGGTGATATTTGCTCCTTCTTTATCTATTCATGGTGATAGACAATAATGAATTTTCAAGGTTATTTTTACTTGTAGACAGATAATGCTGGCTGGTCCAACATTTTACTATTTTTGCTGGTCTCATCAGAGTGCCTTCAGTTAGTAAACACGGTGATATTTGCTCCTTCTTTATCTATTCATGGTGATAGACAATAATGAATTTTCAAGGAGACAGAGTAAATTAAAATGAGACTGATCCTGAAAAATTCCTGAGACAACAAAGCCAATTAGGCATCATAAGTGACCTTAACCTTGCTTGATTTGAAAACATAAGCAAAACTTAACTTGAGCTATTTCTTTTTCATGCCTATTTTAAAGAGAAACAGGTTAGGCTCAACTAATCAGAAGCAGCCAACTAACTTACAGTTACGTAACTAGGGACTTTCCCAAATAAGGAAATAATATAAATGTAAGGAATCAAATATTTTATTTCCTTTACTTCTGTGTTCATTTTATAAAAGCCTCCTACTTGATACATCTTTCATGGAGCTAATGAACCCTTCTGGTTTAGAGCTGTGTGCTCAAATAAACTCTTTAAACATTTATGCCTCAGTTTATCTCTTTAACCATGACTGTTCATTTTATATAGGATAGTCCATCAGGTAACTTGAAAGACACCATAATATCAACTTAGTAGATGCCTCAAAAGACATTCAAATTAAATAAAAATTTAGATAGAGGAATATTAACTTGAAATATAGAATCCACTTTGTAAATCAGGTTAAATAAATAATTATATATGCCAGACTGCTTTTTTTTCTTCATGTATAACAAATTATTTTATTCTCATAACCTGTAAGATGGGCTGAATTACCATCTCTTCACAGCTGAATAAACTGAGGTATGGAGGAATTAATAATTTGCTCAAGATCACACTGCTGACTTAAAAGATAAGAGATATCATTAAAGCTGGAGAAAATGTAAAAATAAGAAGAACACTGGTATTTAGCGTTGATTTTGGGGATCTGTGAGTAAAGCAGTTCTTGCATTGAAAAATGCTGTTGATTACTTATGACCTAAAAGTGTAAATTTAATTCTCATCAAATATAAAATGAGGATAAAGATATCTCTTCCCAGCATCTATATGAGTATATAATACAAACTGCATAAAAAGCTCTAAGAGAGGTCCTAGTCCAAGTTGGCTAGTTTTTTCTTCTACCAATTTGTACCAATAAATGTATAGCTCTGCTACCTCAAGGGAAAAATAGTATATAATTTGTAACATTTTATATCGTATAAAGTAATAACATGCTATTTTGATATCGACTCTAAGTTCTTATACTGGAATGAGCAGATATCATGAAATCCACATTTATCTGTCATGCGTATCTCCTGTGCATATAATTTTTTTTACTAACTATGATTCCTCAACTCTTGACTTTACACTTAAAATTTTTGTTGTTGTTGCTTCCTTTAACACTTTAGTTTTGTAAGCAGAAAGAATGCTTGGCTGTGGAAGGACACAAAAACCTAACATTGTGTGACTCAAAAGTAAAATGCCAAGGGCATGGGGTATGTGACAGTTACTTTCTTTTTACATATAGTTATTTTAACCTATTTCAATAACATTTAGCAGGATAATAATAAGGTTCAGAATTATTTCAGAATTATTTGAGGTGAAATTTATTTAGAAAATCACTGTTAAATATGAAAGTAGATTCAATTATTTGTACATATGTACATGATTTACGTGTTCAATCAGATTATCACAGGCTTCATGAGCTAATAAGTTTTCAACTTTGTACAAAAATGCAATATTAAACATAATCTGCTATTATTGTTAGATTAAGTTATAAAATTAAAAAAATTGATTAAGATTTCACATAAACATTTACATATGCATATGCATTTTATTTAATTGAACATATGTGTACACATATGTTGATAAACACAAGGTATTTATATTATACTTATTGCACATAATCTAATATTTATATGGTACTAGAGTTTCCCATCAATTCAAATCTGTTTCACCCTTAAACACCTTTAGTTTATTTCCCTGCATGTACCTTCTATACTATCTTTGGAAAGTCATTCACTGATGGCTTTTCAAATAATGCTAAATTTTAACTTAATTATTGCAAATAATGGTACAACTAATACTGTTGTACATTTACCTTTGCACATTTATCTAATTTCTTAAATTACTTTCATTAAAGCCTTTTGGACCAAATATATGCACCATTTAAATTTTCATAAGTATTTCACTGTCTTCAAGAAATGTCATGACATTTTTTTGTTCCCTTCTACTACATATGAGAATGCACATTTCACCATATTCTGGACAGACTAGTTTATCAGTCTTCTTAACGTCTTCTGACATGCTAAATCCATTGTTAATTTGCACTTATTTGAGAACAGTTTTAAAGCGTATGTGCTCATATCTGCCACTTGCAGTTTTTGTCCATCCGTCATGAAATTATCTACTGAGTTATAGGAATTTGGTAAGTATTATAGGATTTTTCCAAGCATGTATTTAGCTTTAACTTTTTGTCCAGTGTCTTCTGCCACACTGATGCTTCATATTTTATATATAGTAATCCAGCAACAAAGTGACTTGTCTGTTTGTCTTGCATTCAAATTTTCCCCCAAATCACTTACACATTCTATTACTTAAAATTTCTTTTCTGTTTTTTTCTCATTTAATTTTAATTTACTTTCATATTTGATTTTTGCATAAACTTATGTCTGGATTTTCTATTCTGGTACTGACCCTGTTTCTTTTCATCCACAAGATCACATTTGTAGATATTTTCTAGCCTGCCATGTAAATTTTGCTATCTATATGTGATTAAGTAAGCTTCTCTCTTTAGTGTTTTTCCCATTCTTTATAAAAGCTGGCTCTCATCACAGCTATTCTTTAAAATAGAACACAATTCATAACAAACTTTAACTCCTGCCATTTCATACTCTCTAGCTTCATAATCTCTGTGCCATTCTAGCATAAGCCATCTTGATTGTATCAAGAATGTTGTCTGCTTTTATATAGAAATACAGGAGATAAATGAGAAGATACCCCTATGATATTTAAAAAGATATTGCATGAAAATGTATTATATTACATTTTATGAAGAATTTTTTTACTTATTGTATTAAAACTGTTTATGCAAAATTACAATATTTCAATACATAGACTAAGAATCACAAATAATGCATTTAATTTTTATGTCATACATAATATGTTCTCTTTATATCTGATTTTGGTTTTAGGTTTGCAATGATCACTTTAATTGCCACTGTGATGTTGGGTACTCTCCTCCAACTTGTGAACCGGCCCCCTCATCACCAGGAGGAAGTATGGATGATGGGTATTGGGTTGCAACAGGTTGGTATGTAGATCAGTGTTCCAATAGAGCTGCCTTTCCTTACTGAAGTGAGGACATTTCTGTTGTCCTGTGTGGCTACTAAGCACCTCATGTGGCTAGTTCAACAAAGGAACTGAAATTATAATTTTATTTTACTTTATTTAATTTAGATTTAAGTGACCATTTATAGCTAGTGGCCACTATCTTGTACAGTGAAGCTCTAGCTCAGTGCCAACCAAAATTTTGTGTGCACTTTTGATTATAATCTTGAAGTGGATATTTTAAAAGGCTTCCCCTTAATTTTTACCATAATTCTCATAACATCAAAACAGCAGAGTTTTCTACATAGGTATAGTTAAATTATATAGAAGGTGGTAGTTTTATTATATAGTCTGTGTATTTCAAAGATACTGCCTATTGCAATGAGCTAGTTCACAACTGAATTGTGTCTTTTAAGTTAACCATAATATGGTATAGTTAAATTATATAGAAGGTGGTAGTTTTATTATATAGTCTGTGTATTTCAAAGATATTGCCTATTGCAATGAGCTAGTTCACAACTGAATTGTGTCTTTTAAGTTAACCATAATACGGAAAGGGAAAAATAATCAAATCTTTCATATCTACAGCACTGATCAGATTTCACCAGTATCCGTGCACTTATCTGTGTGTGTGTTTAGTTCTGTACAACTTTACATGTGTAGATTCATGTAACCACCACCCAGTCACGATGATGTAACTGGACCACCACTGCATGACTGCCTAAACTTCTCCTTTGTAGATACACTGATGCCCTCCTTCCTCATTTCTAACTCTTTGCAACCACTAAACTGCTCTCCATCTTTCTAATTATGTGATTTAATAAATGGTGTATAAATGGAATCATATAGTTTGTATTTTTGTGAGCTTGGAATTTTTTCTCTCATAATTTCCACAAACCATCCAAGATGTCACATGTATCAATACTTTATTTCTTTTTCTTTCTTTCTTTTTTTTTTTGATGACTTATCTATTTGTATGGGTATATTTGGGTGGTTTCTAATTTTTAGCTATTGCAAATAAGCCTGTGACGAACATTCATGATGAAGATTCTGCGTGGAAGTAAACTTTTAATTTTCTGGGATACAAGCCCCAAAGTGAAATTGCTGGGTCATTCTAAGCTACTTATAGTTTTAAAGGCAACTGCCAAGCTATTTTCTAGACATTCCCAAAATTAACATATGTATGACATACTTTTTTGTCTCCTCAACTAACATTTGATGGTATCACTATTTATTATTTTAGCTATTCTCTTAGCTGTGTATTAATATGTCATTGGGGTTTTAATGTGCACTTCCTTATGTATAATGCTGTTGAAAATCTTTAATGTGTTTATTTGGCTGTATATTCTATTCAGTATAAAGTCTGTTCATATTTTTTGCCGTTTTCTAATTATGTTGTCTGTGTTATTTAAATGTCATGTTTGGATTTTATGTTTTGCAGATACGTGTATTTTGTTGGATGTGTGATTTGCACATATTTTATCCAAGTCTGTAATCTATTTTTTCTGAGACTAAAAGTATTTTTTATTTCTTTTTTAATGTTTATTTAGATGGTCTACTTTTTTCCTTTTTGGGTTGTGTTTATGGTATTAGGTTTATAAGCTTTTGGTCAGTCGTAAAACCTGAAGATTTTCTGCTATGATACTTCTAAAAGGTGTAGTTTTATGTTTTACTTTTAAATCCATAATACATTTTAAGTTAATTTTCATAAAGTGTGGAAGATCTTAAGTCAAAGTTAAATTTTTGATGTATATTCAATTACATTAGCACAATTTTGATAAAAAGCTATCCCTAATCTACTGAATTGTTCGTGTACCTTTGTCACAAATTAATAGAACAGATTTTGGTTGGTGTCTTTCTTTGTTTTCTAGTCTGATCAGTTGATCTATGTGTTTCCTTCCTCCAGCAACACACTCCTGATTACTGTAGCTCTATAGTAATCTTTAACATTGGAAAAAGTGATTCCTCCCACTGTATTCTTCTTTTTCAAAATTGTTTTGGGGGCCGGCCCGGTGGCGCACTGCTACAGTGCACCGCTTGGGAGCGTGGTGGCGCTCCCGCCGAGGGTTCGGATCCCACATGCAGACCAGTTCCCGCTCACTGGCTGAGCGAGGTGTGGGAGCAACACCGAGGGTTGCGATCCCGTTGCCGGTCCCGGTCCGGTACGGGCGTGACACTGAGGGTTGCGATCCGTTGCCGGACACAAAAAAAGACAAAAAGGAAAAAAAAATTGTTTTGGTTCTCTTAAGATCTCTCCTTTTTACGTAAATTTTATAACTAGTCAGTGTTTACAGTGACACTGAGGGTTGCGATCCGTTGCCGGACACGAAAAAAGACAAAAAGGAAAAAAAATTGTTTTGGTTCTCTTAAGATCTCTCCTTTTTACGTAAATTTTATAACTAGTCAGTGTTTACAAAAATTCTTGCTTTAATTTTGATACAAATTGTGTTAAATCTGTAGACCAATTTAGGAAAAATTTACCTGAATTTATGAACACAGTATGGCTCTTCTCTTATTTAGGACTTCTTTGATTTCTTTCAACAGAACATTGTAATTTTTACCAAATGCTGTGCATGTATTGCTATTTTGTTATTTGTTATTTCATCTTGTTTAGAGTAATGGTAAATGATGTTATGGTTTTGTTTTGATTTTCACTTGCTCAGTGTTCATATATATAGACATGTAATTGATTTTTGTGTGATCTTGTATTCCGAAACACAGTTTAATTTATTTTTACTTCTGAAATGTTTCTTGTAAGTTCTTTGGGATTTTTATGTGGACAATTATATTATCTTCAACTACAGATAGTTTTCTTTCATCCTTTCCAATATGTATTCTTATTGCACTTACTAGAAATTCCAGTCCTATTTTAAATGAGATTGTGAGAGTAAACACCTTGTCTTATTACTGATTTTAGGGGGAAATAATTCAGTCTTTCACCATTAACTATGATGCTAGCTGCAGGGTTTTTCTGTAGATAATCTTTATGTGTTTGAGAAAATTTTCTTCAATACCTAGTTTCTGAGGTATTTTGTTATTAACAGTATTGATTTTTTCAGATGCTTTTTGGTCTTAACTTATAGGATCATATGATTTTACCTCTTACCCTGTTGATATGATGGATTATCTTGAGTTTTGAATATTGAGTCAACCTTGCATATTTAAAATAAATCCTCCTTGGTCATGATCTATCGTTGTTTTGTATTTTGGTGGATTTAACTTGTTTATATTCTGTTGAGGCTTTTCGTGTCTATGTTTTTAAGAGATAGTGGTTTTCTTTCTTCCTTTCTTTTTCCTTCCTTCCTTCCTTTTATTGTCTTTCTATTTTTAATGTCAGATAATGCTGACTTCACGAAATCTATTGGGAAGTGTTTACTCCTCCTTTATGTTCTCTGGAAGTTATTGCTTAAAATTGGCATTAGTTTAAGAAAATGTTTGGTAAAATTTCCCAGTTAATTCGTATGATTTTTTTCATGGGAGCTTTTAAAATATTTTTAACCAATAAAAAAAAAGTACACCAGGGTAAAAATAATAATAATAATAATGAAATAAAATATTTATTATTATTTTTTTATTTTTAAAAAATTTTTATTGAAGCATAATTGATTATACATATTTTGGGGGTACAACATTGATGACCATCAACTGTGTACAACATGTGTTGATCAAATCAATATTATTATCATATTCATTATTACAAATCATAATTAATTTACTCAGCCATAAAAAAGAATGCAATTCTGCCACTTGCAGCAACATAGCACTTTTTATTAATGTCTAGTTTTAATACATTGTGGTCTGAAAAGATAGTTCAAATTATTTTGATGTTTTTGAAAGTTATTGAAACTTGACTTATGACATAACGTGTGGTCTATCTTGGAGAATGTTCTTTGTGCTAAAATTTAAAATCCCTTCCTGATGTAGACTATCATCAAATTAGGTGTAGCAGAAAAGTGTCTCAACACAATAAAAGCCATCTATGATAAGCCCACCACCAATATCATCCTGAATGAGGAAAAACTGAAGGTCTTCCCCTCAAGAACAGGAGCAAGATAGGATGCCCACTCTTACCAGTCCTATTTCACATAGTACTGGAGTTACTTGCCAGAGCAATTAAGCAAGAGAAAGAAATAAAGGGCATCCAGATAGGAAAAGACAGAGTCAAACTGTCTCTGTTTGCAGATGACATGATTCTATATATAGCAAAACCTAAAGACTATCAAAAACCTCTTAGAGCTGGTTAATAATTTCAGTAATGTTGCAGGATACAAAATCAACAACCCCAAATTGTTTGTGTTTATGTTCTCCAATAATGAACTAACAGAAGGAGAAATCAAGAAAGTAAGCCCACTTACAATAGTCACCCCCAAAATAAAATACCTAGGAATCAATTTAACAAAGGAGGTGAAAGATCTCTATAATGAGAACTACCAATCACTAATGAAAGAAATTAAAGAAGACATGAAAAAATGGAAAGACATTCCATGTTCTTGGATTGGAAGAATTAACATTGTGAAAATTTCCATACTACTCAAAATGATGTACAGATTCAATGCAGCCCCCATCAAAATACCAATGACATTCTTCACAGAAACAGAGAAAAAAAAGAAAACAATCCTCACATTCATATAGAACAACAAAAGACCCCAAGTAGCCAAAGCAATCCTGAACAAAAAAATAAAGCCAGAGGCATAACACTATCTGACTTCAGATTATACTACAAAGATACAATAACCAAAATAGCATGGTACTGACATAAAATTAGATACTCAAACCTGTGGAACAGAATAGAGAACCCAGAAATCAACCTACAATTTAAAGCCAATTGATATTTGACAAAGGCAACAAAAACATACATTGGGGAAAAGACTGCCTCTTCAAGAAATGGCACTGGAAAAATTGGATATCCATATACAGAAGAATGAAACTAGACCTGCACCTCTCACCATACAGCAAAATCAACTCAAAATGGATTAAAG